TAAAGGATTGATGATTGATAAATGGATTTAGGGTGCATGAATTAATAACAGATCGAATAGACATTTTTGAATGAGATTGAGGAGGATTTAGCTAAGCATTTAATATGCAGTGTATTATAAGGATTTCTTGCTGCTTTGTTCATCGAGACAGACTGAGGGCCATTAACTGCATAAAGTAAAGTAAATGATATTCCAATTGCCTTAAACCCACAAACATGTTTAGCCAAATATGCTATTACCACCCGCCTAGCTTGCTAATAGATCAGGCTCTGTCGAATACAGTCACTTTCCCTCCATAAGTAGCACAGCTGACCATTTTCTTATCCATTTGCTTATGAATCCTAGAAGTTTTTTCCTTGAGATTTCCTGACCAACAGCTCTGAAACTTGGGTTTTACGAACTGTGGGAAAATGGGTTCAAGTGGAACCTGTAATCCCATCGTTTTGGATACCTGTAGAAATGAGTACATATTTCATACAGTCGCATAGGCCTCCTTCCGTGCAAGCAACGAAAGGAAGCCCATATATGCATAGGGGAATAGTTCGCCACAAATGTTTAAGGGCCAATGAATTCCATTTGACCAACTTAATTCTTATCCTCAAGCCAATAAAATTTCCAAGTATTCCCTCTGGCGCCAGATCTGTTAAGGTTTATGATCGTATAGAGCTGCCGGTCTCTCTTATCCATTCCCAATTGCCTTTGTTGGTTTGACTCATTAATGCAATATGGAAACAGCCTATTTTTAACTTGAAACACTGATACAAACATTTTCGAAGATAAATCCCGATTGCGGTTAGTGATTTCTTCTCTTTTCATGCTTTTTTACTCAAACTATGAGGCATGCTCCATCCTTCTCAATATTTCTCACTCTCCCATTCTCTTCTAGCAACTAGAGGTTGCTCTAAAGTATTTTTATTGACTTAGATGACTCTAACACCGTCCTTCAGAGAGATGGCCCTCAAAGAGTTGTGGCTGTGCAAATATTCCTCGTGAAAGTCAGGCCTTGATATCTGAAAGCCATATTTTCATAAAAAACTTAATAAACCTATTTTAAGATATGTTGAAAAAGCTTTGATGATGAAATATCATATCAAAATGTTGGCTTATTTTATGGGCCTGTGAAAACAGACATATTTTTGAACTTCCTTATATATCCCACAATTACGCCCAAATGTTCTATCAAAATGATACCAAGATGGCAGTTGATACGATCCTTTCTCATTCTTTGTATTTTGCAGGTTATAATTTTCCACTTGTCTCACTAGAACATTTGGCATCCAATTTGGAAGTGCTTAGGATAATAAATCATTCTATTAGAAAATGTTCCTTGATATTTTACTTTATTTAACAAATTTTGATATTAATATTAGCTTGGAGGGCCTGCATTTATAAGATTGGAATATTATTCCTTTGTGCAAACAATATTTTTTCATTGCTATTGGAAAGCAAATTATGCCCAAATTAAATTTGCGGTGTTAGAGTCCTTTAATAGAAGTTCGAGTTTTCTTTATATTTTTGTAATTAACTAGTGCCCAGTTTCTTAATTCACTTACCTCATCTGACTGCAAGAGGGCTACCAAATAAGAATAAAGTAAAATAATTCCAATTTAGATAGCATTTAGGTGAAACTATCGCATAAGAGCAGATCTTTTGAGCGTAATCTTACATTCGTTATCCATTCTTGTAAATAATTTCACTATAATGAAATAAAAAACCAAGTAGAGTTGCTCGTGCTGATTAAAATCCAGGAAGACCAAAGGGATTATGAACGATGAATATGAATATGTATCAATAAAACAAGTAATAAGGAAGCAAAGCCTGGGTT